TGCTGCTACTATATGCCAGATGCACGTATTCTATACGTATGTGATTGATGACTAGCCTTAATCGAAAGTTCTCTCTCGTTAGTGGGAGGGGTAATTAACTATAGGGGCTTGCGCCTATAGAAAACCAGAACTCAGATCATAAAGTCCTCACAAAATGAGGGCGAAATCTCTGGGTAGTGTCTTATCTACAAACCCATTTGCCTTCCAAAACTTACCTCGGAACTTATTCAGTTAAAACTCCCTCGCCGAATAAAAAAAGAAAAAAGCGCGGCGGGGAGGCCAGGGCCTAATTTTCGGAGCCCACAATTATCATTTTACGCATTTTTTTTTATTTTGAGGCTTACGTCTCGCCTCATGAACAAAAAATGCCTCAATACTCAGTTGCGCAATTTTAAACATTGATTCACACTAGGCCTAATGATCCCCGCCTTTAACATCTCACAGATAAGCTTCTTAATCTCATCATTTTGAATCTACAGGTATCGATATGATCGGAAATTGATCGGTGACACTCCCTCCTTCAAGTTAATGGCATGCTTGAGCTCTCTCTGCGAAGGTAGACCCTTGAGAGGTTGAAAACCTCACTGAACTGTTGTATGAGTGATTGAACTATAGTAGGAATGTCTCCCTCATCCTTCAATTTGAATCCTTCCAAGCGCTGTAACTCCACCAAAAATCCTCCTCCCACATCTGGTATGGTCCTGATCAGAGATTTGAGAGTAACCCCTTCTTTAGATAGCCCGACATCCCCCTGAATAACCATTCTCCTTTCCACTACTATCAGATCCATCCTCAATGCTCCCCAATTGACCTTGGTATCTCCCAAGGTCTGTAGTCACTTCTTTACTAGGATGACATCAGTGCTCTCCAACTCCAAAGGAAGAAAATCCTCCCTCATTTGAATCTCTTGAATGGTCAGCACCACTCCCCTACATACCCCTCTACCCATCTCCACCTTCCCCATGCCTATCATCACCCCATAGCCACCTGTATCCACTAATTTCACCCCTAACAGATCTACAATTTGATTGGAGATGAAATTGTAGGTTTCCCCACTGTCGATCAACACCACCACCTCTCTGTGAGCTATTTCTCTCTTCACTTTATGGTGTGACTCGGGGTGAATCCCACCACTGAGTTTAGAGAAAATTCCACCACATCCAAATGTAACTTCTCATCTTCCTCTTGCACTAGCGCACTCTCACCTCCCTCTTCAACTTTCTCGTCATTGCAAATCGTGAAAACCTAAAAAGTTCGGTCCTTACACTTATGTCCCGACTTGTACTTCTCAGTACATCTGAAATACAACCCCCTTGTCCGAATCTCGTGCAACTCCTCCTCAGTAAGCTTCTTGAAATTTCCCCCAAATCCCTCTCCTCCAAACTTCTCCTTTGGTATTTCATGCAAACCTCCAGATGCAACTCCTTTGGGAGCTAGAAAAGTGGTGGTCATTATATATGATTCTCCCGAGCTACTGCCTCTAGCCCCCCAGATGCTTTTGGTCTTCGACCAACTATGCCAACTTCATGGCCTCTCCAAAGTTATGCGGCCTTATTACTCTAAAAGCTGCTTTGATATATGGTTTGAGCCCCTTCATGAAATTCCCCTCTAGCACGGTCTTAGAAAGCCGATCTAGCATTCTAGCTAGGTACTCAAACCGATCATGATACTCTGCCATGGTCCTCTCCTGCGTTAGGGCGAAGAACTGCTCATAGAAATCCCCTCTCCTACTAGTTCAGAAACGTTTTAATAAGCAGTTCTTGAACTCTCTCCAACTCTGGATAGATCACCTCATGTCCCTCCACTAATACCAGGCCAGTCCTTTCCCTTCCAAACAAAATCCAGCTACTGTCAATTTCTCCTCCTCCATAAGCTTGTTGACCGCAAAGTACCGCTCTACCTTGTAGATCCACCCATGTACATCGTCACCCTCAAAATCAGCACCTTTTCATTCGCACCCAACACTTCTCCCCTCCATAGAAAGCGGTTCTAGCGGAAGCATCCCATATTCTCCCTCCAGGATCTCTACTTCCGAATTTTTCCTTCCCCTAAACGGGTTAGGGTTTCCACCTGTCCCATGAATGCAGATGGTTTCCTTCGCTTCAAATGTCGCTAGATTAGTTTGGCTTCAAATAATTTCTTCAACATGTCTTCCACCACGTAAACTTTCCCTCCATCCTTTCATTAACAGATGCGATCTGATTTTGAATATCATAAATCTTTTCCTCCAAATCTGATTGGAGTTACCCAAGTTCTCCCTCCAAGACTTCAACCTTCCTTCCGGCCATTGATATCCCTTAGATCGACGTGCTCTGATACCAATTTGATAGGAAATAGCCACCAATAGTGCAGAAGTTTGCTGAATTTAAGAAATTCAGCCAAAACAGAGCATATACTTATAAAATTGTAAGAAATTTGAGAGAAAAATAACACAAGATACAAGAATCTTCAATTCGAAAGGAAGATTCAACTCTCTCAATCTCTAACCAAAGACTAGAGAACAAAATCAACACAAGGATCCCAAATTCAGATTTAAATTCAAGATGAAATCTTAACCCTCACAAGAGAAACTAATTAAAGCAAAGAAGAGAAATACCTGGTTACCGGGAAGATGGATCATTAAGAAGAATATCATAGAAAGTTTACTGTTCCATTGCCTCTTGCATTGCATCTTTTCCTCTGTTTTCAATCTCTTGCAGGTATCTGGTGATCGACGGAGCAGCTTCGGCATCATAAACAGTCCCTAATTTAAATTTTCCCTTCCAAAGCAATATTTAATTGAGTTGTGGGCACCACTACTTAGCCTCCCCCCTTCTCCATGGTTTTGCCCCCCTTGGGCCCACAGCCTGTAGACAAAACCGGTCCAATAGGGATCGGTTTAGCTGGCCCCCCTTGGGCCGGCCAAACATAATGTTGAGGTTTAACAAAAAATAAAAATTCTAGCAGTATGCATAGAAGCTACATTGATATCAAATCTATCATAGTTAATAAAATACCCTAAGGACAATAAGATGACATTGATGATATGACAATCATATAATTGAACAAATATAATGATGTGATAAAGATGAGTACTATAAAGAACCATACAGCAATTCCATCAGTGCAATTGTATATTGTATGGTAAAGAATTTTCCATGCTTCTTCAGTATGGTGATTTGCTTGGCCATATCGTCTGAAAGAGTAGTTCTTTAGCCACCCCTGAAATGAAATTAAAGCAATAAGACTTAATATGAGTACTTAATCAGAAAAAAAATTCCGCAATCCATATGAGAGTAAAGAATAAAGTACAACACATGAATTATACAGTTTTTTTCCTGTTTAGGAGTGCAACCACATCTTTCCCGTTTCCTAACATCATCTTTTAAGGAGCACATTTCAAAACAATCCCACCTCATCTTTCAATAATTATGAAGTACAACTTACATCATCCTCACATGTAATGCAAAGATGTTTAGTAAAATATTAGGTGACTTGTATTTATCACGCACCTCCTGCATAAGTTGCAATTTGGCAACTGAGGTTTCAACAAGTCAATATAATTCCTCGGCTTATGGAAAATCCTTGAAATCAACCGTTTACAGAAGTTTAAATTTGAACCTAGGCTTCCAACAAGTAAACTTAAGTACTAAGTTTACAGAAAAAAGAATTTTCCCACTTCTTTATTTTACCACCCGCTATAGGCAATAAGACTCAGATCAAACTACCATTCTAACCTGCTTCTTTAAACAGCCAATGCATTCACTTTGCTAACTCTCCCTATTCCCACCTGCACTGGAACATAGACTCTTTATTGCCCATTTAGCAACTTCTCAAACTGTTCTGTCTACCAACTCACACCCCATGATAAATTGGGTCACCATCTCCCCCAAACCCTCCGATATCACCATGGAAGAGGGATTCCCTGATGCTAAGAAAAAAAAGTGCATAAAATTCAATGCTGAAGAAGACCAAATAAAAAAAACATTTCAGCTGAAAAACTGTAAAAGTTAAATGCCAGAAATTACTTCCTAATTTTAAATAGTGAGATTTCAAGACCTTATCAAAAGGATGGACAAATTTATTTATTTATTTGCAAATTCTTGCAATAAAAACTAAAATTCATATTTCAATAAAAGTTGCATGCCAAATTCTCAAATTATTGATGTTAACCCTCAAATTGTCTAAAGAAGTGTTGAATCATCAAATCAAAATAACGTAGAATCCACGAAATTCATTTCAATAGTCACGAATCTCATTTCATTCACTAATAAAAGAATAGTAACAAATGATCATGAAAAGTAATTTAATAAAAGAGCCTCTAAACATGAACTACAAAACTAACCTTAAGTATGAACAATTTTGATAGAGCAGGTCAACGAAAGAGATGACCATGGTGAAACTTTCAGCATAGTCCTATGCATGACGAGATTTACCAATCAATAATAATTCAATCCAAACTTTAAAGAATAATACGTTTGATACATCAATCAAGGCTCCAATGGTCCTCTTAAAATGAATTTAGGCCGTCTGGAACCAGAAGCAGTGCAGAAAACTTATCCAAAAGGAAGCCGATCCAGTTCAACTCCATTCCTCACTGCAGGTTACAATTTCAGGACAGCAGAAAATTACCGTTCTCCCCTCATTTCAGCCAAAAGAAAGGATGGCGTCTTTGACAGGTCCAGGAAGGTCCAGTTCCAATTACCTTTGCTTGGTTCACCCAAATAAGTCTTTCCACATGGTTAATTTGGTTCAAGTTTAGAAAAGTTATGGATAAGAGATTACTTGGTTCATCGTGGTTGAAGAAAATCATACAGAAAAGAGTGAGAAGAGATTAGAATGAAATTTTGAATTCAAAATTTAAATTCAAGCTAAGAGTCAAACAAGAAAACTCAAATTTGAATTTATATTTCAATTTGGAATTCAAATGGAGGATAAGTGTTCACCACAAAATTAGGTTTGATTGAATTTAAACATGCTTAATTAAATCTGATTGACTTTCTTAATTTAAAATGATGTCTATTGATGATCTGAATTAACTGTGCAAGTTTTATGATTATTTAACGTACTCAGTAATTTTGGTACTCTAAATTGTCTATAATTACTCTTCAAATTTTTTTAAAAAATGAGACTTAACAGGTCAGATCCCTATCCTAACTATACCATTACCATTCACTTACTCCCTTAACCTCAGCACCCTATGCAACCCAACCACACAAATGAAAATCAGCAAGTACTAATACTAGTTTACTCCATGATCTCCAAGAAAGCACACTCCACATTGCGCGTTTAAGACATGCATAATGCCATGCCCGCATCATAACCCTCTCATGACATAATCTCCACTGCTTCACCCCCTCAAGTGATCGCTATTCGTCTCAACCAGCTCACACATTCTCCCTGTAAAACCCGCAAAACGTCGTTTTAGACCTCGCACGCTTTTCAAAGCGTCGCGACGAGTTTTAAGTGGAAAATTCGAGGATGTCGGATTTCTATGGAAATAATTTTGAAAAATTCTACGTAAAATTCTAAGAAATTTGATGTAAAGGACTTATATTTAATTTTTCTTAATTGAGGAATTAAAATTAAGAAAAGTTTCATAATGCCAATTCTACCCTTAAGGTTTGTTCAAGCATGGGTTGTTTAAGTAAGGGCATGTATGTCTTTTGGCTTTCCCCCATCTTCCTATTATGAGCCAACCCAGCCCTCATTCTCCCCCATTCGCATGGTTTGAGCGAAAGAAGCCGAGAGGGAGCGGACGGTAGGGGCAACGGGCAAGGGAGATCGAGCGGCTCTGGCGGCGGATTCCGGCGGCCAACCTTGGGGAAAATCGTAGGGGAGACTAAGGGAAG